GTGGTTTGTCCTGGAAAAATACCTTAAAATGATTTATAATTTTAACACTCAAGAAAACAATTGGAACAAATTTACACTGGCTTCCGACCCATTTTTCAGATACAAGAATTATTTCAAGCTGTGGATTTTGTCTATTTTCTTTCCTCTTCTTCTCCAGACAACTGGCACTAATATTGCACCATAAACATTTTTAAAGCACTTGAAAAAAGATAAATTTATAATAAGTGAACACTGCATATTATGTGCTCCAGCACCATCCCTCTAAGAGCACTGATGCACACTCTGCACAAGATTCACAGGGGTGGGCAAGCTCAAAAAAGTATTGGCGCCCTATTTGACTGCAAAGGGTAACAGGATCAAATTTACGCTGATCCAGCTTTCACATGTGTACTTCCACCTTTATGGACCCAAGCTCCTGGGGATACTCCTCCAATCCATTTGCAAAGTCCAGAATCAAGCAGTGAGGTAGTAAACATGGGAAGTGGCTGCAGGGAGGGAGAGCTCCAGCCAACACCGCAAAGGAGTCCTGTAGCTCAGTGGTTAGAGCACTCGCTTTGCAAGTGAGAGACCTGAGTTCAATTCCAGGCAGAGGGCGAAACCTTGGGCAAGTTTCCTTACTCCACACGCCTAATAATAATCCCTCCAAAACCAAAAACAATAATAAATTGGTCATTTTCAATCTACGACTGTTTGTGGGACATTGCTGTGCGCAATTGGCTGCCGCGTTCGCCCACAAATATACAGTCAATTCACTTTACAGTGTGTTCTGTGAAGCGCTCCCAACGTGAAAAGCGCTATATCAAATGCAAGGATTATTAAGGATTATTATTATTAAAGCACCGTAGAGGCGGCTTCATAGCGGGCAGCTGGTGCTGAGTAACTGGACTTGGATCTCGAGAACATCAAGATGGCTGGCACATCACAAACTGAGCTGTAAATGTCTTCCCACCACGCTGAAGGCAGATGTCTGCCAGATAGCTATCAGTTCTACAATCCACAAATTCCAACAAGTTCAGAATTTTGTGTTAACATACTCAACCGCTCTAAACTCTATACTTCAATCATATCAGTCCTCGCCAGGCTCCAGTATCACAAAACTGATTAACTTCAAGATCCTCACACTCATCTATAAATCCCTTCATGCCCTGGCACCCTTCCCCCACCTTTCCAACCTGCTTAGTCACCACTCCACCACCCGCCATTTCCAGCCTCGTCCTCTCCATGGTGGAGGATTTCAACCACTGCTTGCCAAAACTCTGAAATTCTCTTCCTCAATCCTCCACTGTGACCCCCTCCTTCACCTTTTTAAGATCTAGCCTGAGATTTTCCTCTTTGACCATACTTACAGTCACCTCCTCCCTCTGGGTCGGAAACAAGCTCCACCTCTATTAAGTTCTCCAAGATGCTGCCTCACTTGAAGGACGTTATATGTTGAACATCAGGAAGCAGAGATTCAAACAAAACTCGACAAGTAGAATAATTAAGTGGGTAAGTGAACATGAAGATTTTTTAGCCATCCCACTGTCGCCAACTCTGATCCCCCCACCCATCAGTAAAAATAACCACAACAAAAACAAACATTTTACAAAAAAGGGAGAAAAATCAGTAAGAAATAGATTTTTCATGTTTCACAAGATTAATAGGAGGATTAGTCACATTTCAAATGGCAATGTTCACTATTTGTGCACTGCAGCTCCTCCATCACAACTTTCATCCTGTAGTCTAAAATGAATAGATCCAGCCTGAGCATGTCAATTGCTCTAATCTTATAGGAACATTATTGTTACTATGGAAACCATGAAAAGATAAATACAAAAGCCTCCGTAATCTGTCAAAAGCTTATTCATTCCTACAGTACATCCAATTTCATTGTCCAACATGTGCATGACAGAATTTGCTGGATCCTGGACCATGACAGCCCAAAATAGGGTGTATACATTGCAAACTCAGGTATTGTGTTAATTCTGTACATTGTGCTACAATATTTAAATTTAACAATCTTCAACAATTACTGATAGCTATCAAGGAGACAAACACTATGGTGCATGATATGCTTCTTACATTAAATTGCATAAATATCATGACATCAACATGGGAATTATTTTTTTACTTCCAGAACTCCTTGAAAACAAAATATTATTTATTAACCAACTGTTAATTTCCTTCTAAACACAATTCTCCAACATTGCAGAACATGCTGCTCACCAGGTTTGTTTTGCATTGACTGACTACATTTTGTTGAACAAGTCCAGTGCTCAGCACACAAGACAATGTACAGATAAAGGTCCATGTGTAACTGCAACTAAGGCCAGCCTGAGATTGGATCTGACAATTTTCTGAGTAGAAATTCCACAAATGTTGAATCCAACAGTAGTAAACACTTAAAAGAACATCTTAACCACGTCAACTTTCCACCCCCCACAAAAGAAAACTTGGCCTTCCTTCAGCATTTCAAATATTTTTGGTAAATTGTTGAGTTTTACTTCTTTCATGAAACAAATATTTTAACTGCAGGTTGAGAACATGGCTAATTGCATCGGATTCAATTGACATTCAGAAATGGCAATTCAATTTCATCTCAAACTAATGTCATTCATGCAACAAAAAAAAACTCCTTAGGCAATCTAGTCATTAGAAATGTTCATGCATTATCATACAAGATTAAATTAATAGTAACAAATCCAATTGTAGGATCTCACAATGCTCTGCTGCATGGACCATCAGTACGACAAATACTACAAAGTTTTTAACAGTTACAAATCTGAATGAGCAACAGACATTTCTTATCAACTAAAGTGAACAAAATATCACTTTTTTATTTGTCTCATTTTTAAGATGCTATAAATAACAGGACTGTGGGAATCCCAACTCAAGCTGCACTTCACACTCACCAATTAATACACATTCTTTTCAGGCAAAATACAAGTGTAGGCAAACTAATTGAAGGATTGATTATTTTCTAAGTGTTGTTTTACATGCAACTGATTCATAACACAAAATTTGGGTTATCAATTTATGTTCGCTTATCAAAAACTAAAAATAGTTCTAATTTTAATTGATACTTTTGCACTTTGTTTTCTTCCCTTCCTCAAAACGCATGCAGAGTTCAACAACAAGAAGATTACATTTGTATAGCGCCTTTCATGTCGGGAGGACGTCCCAAGGCGCTGGACAGTGTACAGCAGGCCATGGAGGGTTTTGTAGGTGAGGATCAGGATCTTGAACTGGAGCATAGAGTCGGGTGAGAATGGGGAAGATGGGGTCATAGAGTTTGGAGTTCAGAGAGAACAGTGTAACAGAAAGAAAAATAATCTCACAATTGCAATAACTAACACTGCAGAGAATCTAGATACCAGAAAGAGATCCATAATCTGCCTGTCAGCCTGAAACTGGTTCAAGCCCTCTTGGGACAAAAGCCTCAACTTTACCAATATTAGTCACTGTCATTGAAACTTGAATTCATTTTCAGACAATTACTTTGCTAGGCTTTCTGCCTGACAGCGCACATCAACTATATTGCTCCTGCACTCTTCTGATCAGAATATACACTGTAGTTATAATTAGCATACTGTGTATGTATGCCTCATGGACAGTTCGTGTCAAATTAGTTCACTTTACTGCGGAAAATAAGCACTTACAGAAGATGAACAAGATAAGCATCACATGTTGGAAGCAAACAACAACCAGTGCAACCACATTTCTTCTCCTGTAATCTTGGTATCCATAACAAACAGCTAAACAAACTCTGAAAAACCTCAACCTCTCATAATTAAAGTAGGGTACAAATATAAAAAGTTAGCTTTGAGTATAACAGACTTTCAACATGAAATGATTTAGAAAAGCTTTGGTTTGAAAATAAATTTATTTACAAGATGTTGGTAATCTTGGTTGTACACATGCACATTGGGATTTTAAGAATATGCCAAGCACTACTGGCTTTGTACTTCAATAGCCACCACACTGCAGACTTTCATCCATCTTTAAAATGTGACTGCCTAATCTTGCTGAGTCTTCTCTTCCTTTTTAAAGCTGTCCCACTATTTTCTTCATTTTCTCTTACTACAACCAATCCCCTTGGCCTTATTGCAATGTCATCAAACGGTAATGGATGGCAGCAGCAGGTAAAAGGAATGCAGGATGCAGTTGACCCAGTAATCCTTTAATCCAAAGCATAATTTAGTTATTGGGTAGACATCAAACTTGAATTCCAGGTTTTCATTACTTTTTGTATCCAGATCTATTTAAGTTTTCACTCATAACCAATGTAATAATCCTTGCATTTGATATAGCGCTTTTCACATCGGGAGGACGTCCCAAAGCGCTTCACAGAACACACTGTAAAGTGAATTGACTGTATATTTGTGGGCGAATGCGGCAGCCAATTGCGCACAGCAATGTCCCACAAACAGTTGTAGATTAAAAATGACTGATTTATTATTGTTTTTGGTTTTGGAGGGATTATTATTGTATATTTTGTATATATTGTAAATTATGTTTATTTTGGTCCTGTATTGTGAACTACATAAATTACTCTCGCCAACAGAAGACAGAAGCTCCTCTCCACAGAGGCTCCAACATCATAAAATTGCTCAAGATTTCCAGCTCAAATTATAATTGGTTCATTATGAGCTTTCCAGGAAATGATGATGCGGTCTGAACTGTTAAGTAGGAAACTTTTAATGTCGGCCTGAGGGCAAACAAGTCACAACAGTTACAGTAAACCTTCTGTAAGATATAATGAGTGACGTTTGGTAGCTCAGAGAACAAACAGAAAAAAAAATGTATTATGGACTTCGAGCGGTTTAGTGCAGATGTTATGAGATACCGACCAAGTTTATCAAACAAAGATTTTAATACATACCTGTCTTACAGAAACTAGTATGGCCAGTTTTTCCCAAAAGGCATTTATGAAACACAATAAAATGTCATGCAAGACTCAATCATTTTAACAAGACGAGCTGATCAGATTAATTGGCAGTAAATATTGAAAAGATGCATACCTGGATGGCTTTGTGAGGTCATTGTTTAGATTACCCACAGCTGCAGCGAATGACAAAAGACCAAGCTCTTCCAACATGTAAAAAGACAGCCCCTGAGAGCTCCAACACTCCAGAAATACATACAAATTCAGTAACTTAATCTTCAGCCAGATAAGCTCTTGGTCAGTAAAGCATCCTGTGCAGCAGCAAAGGTAATACTTTCCAAATAAAGTTTTCTTCTCTGTACCTTAACTGTCAACCTGTTAGGAAAAACATTTCAGTTAATTATGAGCATGATAGGATGTCTGACAACAAAAGCATTTAATGCATTCCAACTATCAATTCGCTGATTGCAAAGGATCACCCAATGTGCACACTCACATTTCAGAAATCGAACAACTGCTCAATTCAGGAATATTTCAATGTTTTTCAACAGAGCAAAAACTACAAATCTTGCAGCAATTCTAAAATGTCCTCTCCTCCATAAAATCAATAGGGAACAACTTTTCCCTTTGGCAGACAAATTCAGAGGAAAGTCAATCAAAAAACATGTTGTCACATAAATGTTTGAGGAAGTAAAATGCAAAAGATTAAGACGTTTAAAAATGTGATTAATACTAAGGGAAATAAATATATTAATGAATATAGAGAAAGACAACAACAAATTACATTTGTAAAGAGCCTTTCACATCAGGAGGCTGTTCCACGGCACTGGACAGCCAGGGATTTGGACCTGAGCAGGCGATTGGAAGAGGTGGAGGGGAGAGAGGGTGGCAGAAGAGGAGGATCTTGAGCCGTGCCTTGAAAGAGGTAAGGGTGGGAGGAAGGCAAAGGGACTATGGGATGGAGTTCCAAAAGGTGATGGCAGCGAGGCTTAAGGCCTGACTGCTGATGGTGGGGCAGACCAGGCTGGGGACATGGAGCAGGCCAGAGCCAGCTGAGCAAAGAAGTTGATATAACATTAGCAGGTCACAGAGATAGTACTCTGATCTGCAGCTTGTGGAGGGATGAGCTGGGAAGACCGACAAATAGTGAGTTGGCATAGTTGGCATAGTCTAACCTAGATGTAATAAATACAGATGAGGGTTTCCGCAGCCTGAGGGGAGTGGCAGTGCAGAGCCGGACGATGTTGGGGGAAGGCAAGGCAGGTCATGGCACAGATGTGGAGTAGAAAGGACAGCTGAGGGTCAAACAAGGTGTCAAGGCTCTGGACTGACTCAATAAGGTGGAGTGTGCATCCATGGATGGTGATGCTGCCAGTGCCTGAGCTGACGGGAGCCAATCAGGAGGGCCTCGGTCTTGTTGACATTCAACTGGAGAAAGTTAATTCTCATCCAGGACTTGATGTCTGACAGACATTCTGTCAGGACAGCAGTGGTCCTGGAGTTGAGGGTGGAGGGACGGAGATAGAGTTGGGTGTCATCCGCATACATGTGGAAGTTGACCCTATGTCTGCGGATGATGTCACCAAGAGGGGGAATGTAGATGTTTTATGTGGAGAGGACCAAGGACTGATAAACACCGCATGAGATTGGGCAGGGGCTGGAGGAGAAACCGTTTGTGGAGACGCTGTGAATGATAGGATATGAACCAGTCAAGGACAGAACCATAAATGTTGAGAGGAAAAGCAGTGGAGGAGGATAAAGTGGTCGACAGTGTCAAAAACCAGAGAAATAAGATTTAAATATAAATAATTGCCATGATCTATTCTAGAGAGTTCAATGGTCCACTTTTGTTCCACAAACTACAGCCACAGAGTAGTTGTGCAACTCTCGTATTCATTGAGGACCGTGTAATAAATATCTAGAAATAATAATAGAACACTATTCGTTTTTAAAATGTTTAGACTTGTATTCAATAAACTAAGGTTGAGTTACAAAGCATATTTGCACCCTTGGCCTATGTTGACCCACAGAGCAGCAAATATTTGATAGCAGAGGGAAGGATTGGAAACTGTCACAATTGCCTTTCACCTCAGAAACCTAAGTTTGAATAAAGGCCAGAATGATGGGGCACATCAGTCTGTTGACTCTAAGGAAACAAATCTCAATTCAGTTCCAGGCAATACGGAGGTCAAGGCTGGGGTGTTTGGACATGAAAGAATGGGAAGAGCTTTAATCTGTATCTAACAACTATATGTACCTAACCTGATCTGGGAGTGATCGATTTAGACGAGGTAAAATGGGAAAGTGTTCGAAGCATGGCATCCTCACCCTGACAGGGGCGAAACTCACATAGAAAAACATTTGTTTCAAAAACCACTACAGAAAGCGTGTAGAATTCCTCCACTTCCATTGTTATTTTTTTTAAAAAAACAAATAGTCAAGAACTACTGAAAGCCATGATATGTACAACAGATGAAAATCTCTCAGGCTATGTGTGGTACAATACATTTCTTTCAAACAGATTCCTTTTATAAGTCCGACTTTAGCTTCAAACAAAAAACAATAATCCAGAAAGCAAACCAACTTAATAATGCATTTGTCTGTGCACAAAATACAACATGCCTAATGGAATATTTGAATACATGTTGAAAGATTTATGTGGATATTACAGTAGGGTTAGAACTGAACATGCTGAATAATGTCTACAATTTGGTCTGAGATGAAAAGATTCTGCGAAGCGCTTTGAGACGTAGCGAAGACATGAAAAGCGCTATATCAAATGCAAGGATTATTATTATTATAATCTCGACTTATACATATTCATATCTTTCCCAGCAAGCTGCAGAATTAATTGTATTGCACTGTCAGTTTTTAGAATAGTTCTCATTTCCTTTGAATTCCTCTCGCCTTGCAACCTATTGCATCACATCTCCCATTGCCTCTTTCTCACTGGGCTGCATAAACACAATGAGCACCTCGCACTTAAAATGAGCATTCAATAACATCTTCTCCATCAACGCAACATTAAGGGAAGCACTCTGATAATTTACAGTCATCTTCCCCTTGTTAGCTTTCCAGGCTAACCTGCACCTATTTAGCATTGGATAACCTCTCAGATCTACAGAATCTCAATGGGGTGGGAGATCAGAGTGAGATAAACAAAGGCACATTCATAAGGTAGATTTTCGAAGAGTTTTGAAAGCAGATGAAGGATACTAGGTGAAGTGATTAAGATCGAACTCTAAAGAGCAGGAGCAAAAGGGGCGGACAGATCACCTTCCAAATGTGAGATGGAGTGGGGCTTAGGACATGAAGCACATACAAGTTAGTGCAGTGAGTCTGGACTATGAGAATAGCTAAGCAATGCTAAGAGAGCAGCCAAATAGCAGAGACTTGGATCAAGGCCTCTTCTACCTCACTCAACGGTGCAGGAAGAAAGCAGCCTAGCACCCTAACATTTTGAACTTTATTCTGCTGCAAAGCAACAGTGCAAAGATCAGTGACCTCATCCAAGAAAGGGCTCAAACCAGCTTTAACACATTATTATTTTAATTTAACCTCAGTATCATCTTCAGCAATACACAGACTATTTCTCTCGGTCTATCACTTAGGTCTGTCATTTCCCCTAAACACTATTTTCCCTCATTTCCAAGAAAATGACAAGAGTCTGTGTGATATCAACCTTGCCACTTAGTAATGTCAGAATGATGTTTGCAGAAATTTACATTGAATTGTGATCAGATTTACTGTAGTCCTGCCATCCCAACAAGCATTGATACTACTTTTACATTCTTTTCAGCTTCTTATTTGTATCTTGTTTCACCCACAAAATACAGTCAATCCGCTTTACAGAATAGCCGATGAAGCAATTTGAGAAGCCTTGACCCCATGATTAGGCACTAGATCAAATGCAAGGATGATTATTATTATTATTATCTGGTTCAGTGGTTCAGTGACAAAATGGGGGCACTAGCCAGGCATTAATCATGGTACTGTTCCTCAACAAGATTATTAACTAAAAATGATTACCCTTACATTTATCATCATAATGTTAGCTAGTCTATCATCAATACTAAAATATTTACAATTTTTGCTCACTTTCTCAAACACCAGCTTCGCCTCTCCCAACAACCATCAGTTTTTTTATACACCAGCAATAATGATCATGACCTCCACTACAAACATGTACATGAGCTGTGAAACTTTTAATCATCATTAAAAATGTTATAACCAAAGAAGATGTGTCAAGCACCCAGTAATCTGCATTAAAAGGATTAAAATGCATTATGTGCACCATCTATTTATAACCAACTGTCTGGTAAGAGACAAGGCCATCGACTCAATGGGTATAATATGAAAAGAATGCATTAATAAAACTGCTTGTTAAACCAACAAAAATGGAAATCTTTCTGTAAGACGCATTCTTTCCACCATTAAGGTAGAGCTAATGGCGCCACCCAAAGCAGTTATGGAAAGAAAACCAGAAATGAAGCCAAGCGTGAAAAAACAACAAATTTACATTTATAAAGCGTCTTTCATGTCAGAAGATGTCCCAAAGCGCTGAACAATCGGGGATCAGGACTCAAGCATGGGGGGCAGGGGTAGGATGGGGGGGGGGCAGAGAGGTAGGAGGGTGGCTGAAGGCACGGTCGAAAAGGAGAGTCTTGAGTCGTGCCTTGAAGGAGGCAAGAGAGGGAGCAAGGTGAAGGGACTGTGGGATGGAGTCCCAAAGGGCGGGGGCAGAGAGGCTGAAAGCCTGGTCGCCAATGGTAAATGGAATCCGTCGGGAGACATAGAGCAGGCCAGAGCTTGCTGAACGGAGGGAGCAGACAGGTTGATAGGGGGTCAGCAGGTCAGAGAGGTAGGATGGGGCAAGGCCGTGGAGGGCCTTGAAAGTGAAGACAAGGATAAGGTAAGCATCAGCAACAGCTCATAATTGCAAAACTACATCTGAAACATAACTGGTTCAGACACAGTTCTCCTTCTCTCCCCGATTACACTAAGAGAATTGCACTTGCCGTTCAAATGGAATGTTCACACAGGGGTTTAACATTCAAAGTTTACAAAGGTCATTAATCAATACTCATTTACATCACCACAGGAATAACAAAGGAAATCTCCAACCTTTGGACTTCCATTGGCAACGATAATTTTGTTTTCATATTGTTCTTCCAATAACAATTGTGATCATTTCCAAATAGAATCATAATAATTACAAAATGCTCTGTAAAATACTCAAATAACATCAAAATTGGTGTAATTTCTAATACTGAATGCAAATCCACAACATAGTTAACTCATTGGAAACAAACATTATACACATTTGTTCTGGAGGAAAGAACACCTCATGACATGGTGACCTAAACCTTCAAATA